CGTGATAAAGAAGTACATATTTGATAATAATGAGGTTGTTAGAATTAAGAACATTTTAAGAAGATGTAAATAACCCTAATGTTTCACTAACAGAAAGACTGGGAAATGACTTGGAGAACTGAAAACTCTTCTTCCTACATCATATATAGCCATAAAAAAGCTGCATTTTGAAGAACTGACAGGAGGCGAGAATGGAAGAATGTGATGTTTGTTTTGGCTGACCTTTAGAATATGGTAACTGGTAGTTTCGCGACATTTTGGAGGCGATAAAGGTTACTACCTGGGACTCTTTGGTGATAATGTGAGCAGTACTCAGTTCCGATTATGCATTATTTTGTGTGAGGGAAATGAGAGATCATGGGATATGTCATGTGATATTAATGGACGAATTACGGTTCTTTAATCGGAAAAGGGGGGAAATCGGGAAAAATCTGGAAATTTTGTATTTGGCTTTATTCTGTGTTGTGTGAAACAGTGTTCGTTAATTTTTGGTTCCCATGGCCCTAACTAAAGTGAATTCGAAATGGGTATTTAGTGGGATTGAAAGGGGTAGTAATAAGTGTTTCTTTTAAGGTTGTGCGAGATAGAAGTAAAGTAAAGATGTTTTATTAAGTTATTTATTTTACCTGGTACCTTGCTGTGAGCTATAAGTATGATTTTAAAGATCCTCAAACAGAAATAAGAAAAGTTTATCGGACACGTAATCAAGATTAGGTAAGTTAGTATTTTTAATTATTTGAGGATATTATTTTTATGCATTGTTCTAAATGTAAGGTAATTTGGTATTATTGGGAAAATTGTTATTAGCAATGATTTAGTTTAAAGTAATTAGGATTGTAAGCTAATTTTTATTAATTTAATTTATGTGCTTATTTATATTTTAAGTAGTGTTTTTGAATTAATTATATTTTTAATTAAATGATAGTTATTTTGTGAATTTTATGTTTGTAGGAATTTGGTATACATTTTAGTTGAAGTAAACGTGCATGGAAATAATTTAAATATTTGACACTAAGTATTTGTAATGTTTGCGGTATGAATTCGTTGGTGACGTTTATAATATAATAGATAATTTAGAGCTAAAAGTTTTTGGATATTTATTTTTTATGTTATACGTGGAAATGTTCATATTTGGAAAGGGTATATACTTTTTCGTTATTAGGTAATTTCATATATGTTCTTTTTAACGGGTTTAAAGATTCAGAAAATTGTCATGCATTTTCGTGAAATTTTTCTAATTTATGAGAAAAAAGGAGTGTACATGGATATGGTGAAGAGTGTGCGCAATGCCATTTTTGTGCAATTCTGGGATTTTTTTTTAAAGTAAAAATAAGTCGACGTGTACATGGTTTAGTGATATTTTTTAATTAAATGATAGTTATTTTGTGAATTTTATGTTTGTAGGAATTTGGTATACGTTTTAGTTGAAGTAAACGTGCATGGAAATAATTTAAATATTTGACTAAGTATTGTAATGCTTGCGGTATGAATTCGTTGGTGATGTTTATAATATAATAGATGATTTAGAGGTAAAAGTTTTGGATATTTTATTTATTTTATATGTGGAAAATGTTCATATTGGAAAGGGTATATACTTTTTCGCGATCAGGTAATTTCATATATGTTCTTTTTACCGGGTTTAAAGATTCAGAAAATTGTCATGTATTTTCGTGAAATTTTTCTAATTTATGAGAAAAAAGCAGTGTACATGGATATGGTGAAGAGTGTGCGCAATGCCATTTTTGTGTAATTCTGGGATGTTTTTTTAAGTAAAAATAAGTCGGCGTGTACATGGTTTATGTGTATGTGTTATTTTAAAAAACGCGTAAGGAGTATGGTATTGTGCACTTTTTCCCAATTTTGCAGTGAATATTTGTCATGATTAAGCAGTTTTGTTAGATAAATTTCTAGCATAAGTGTAATTCGGCTAGTAGATTGTTGGAAGAAGTGTTCAGTAGATAAAAAGAAAAGAAACATGTCTTTACTTCATGAAGACAACATGGCGGCGGGAAAAAAAAAAAAAAAAAAAAAAAAATAGAGGGTTGCTGTAGGAGAGTTGGTCGACAAATTTTCGCCAAGTTACCATAATGTAAAGATCAACCTTTGTTTTATCTGAAATGGAGAGTTTATAGCAGAAGGAATCATTTCTTCAATAAAGAAAAGAGAACTTAGTTTGTTGGACAATGAGATCTATCTTGCTGGGTTAAATATGTGTAGATCTAAAACACCGAATTTTCTTGGATATGAACAAATTAAAAATGCAATGAAAGCCTTTCATTAAGAATGAAATTATTCTCAGAACAACTGAAGAATGAACAATTGGAGAATTCGAATCAGGACAGTCAAACTGAAAATAGTGCAATTGAGTCTCTATCATCCTCTTCCAGTGATGAATTAGATTTTGAGAAATATTTTTGGATAATATTGAAAAGGCTATGGCAAAGTGAATGAAAATATAAAGAACCAAGAGCCTTTAGATATAAAAATGAAAAAATACAAACAGGATTTCGACACGGCCTTTGAAGAAATAGAGAAATATGATTGCGCTTGCAAGACATCTCTTTTAGAACTTATTAAAAAAACTATCCTGAAAAATTAAAAGATGTAGCCCTAATAGTAAGAGCTCTTCCTCCTACTCATGTTAGTGTGGAAAAACTCTTCTCAGTTCTGAAGTTTATCAAATTGGATCTATGGCCCTTCAACAAAGAAGATCTTGCCAAAGCTGTACTATTTCTTAGAAATAACTAATGGCAGTTTCATAATAAATGCTAATTAATATAAATAATTTGCTATGCCATCAATTTTTTTTCTGCAGCATCTACTGCTTCTTTTATATTAAAAAAATAAGCTGTAACTCATGTGTATATGTTTATATATATATTATTAATTAAGGGAGTCGGAGTCGGTCATTTTCCCTATCGACTCTAGACCCCTGCCACTAACCCACTCAATAGAACAATCCAGACCCCAGAATTTTAAGATGCCGATACTGCATAAATGCTATACTATATAGGCCAAGTGTTATGGTAGCCAGCAATGCAGACTATTGTACCACACAGGGTGGCCATAGCAATAAAAAATACAACCGGCCATTCAAAGCAGCAGTCATGATCATAAGTTTTGCATTATAAACAATGCAATTACATACTGAATCTTCTAGTAAGTGAAGCATTATCTGCTACAGCAACAGTTCTTGAACATTTTGCGCCATTGGCCCTCCTTTTCAAAACTCGAAAAATATATATACATTTATTTAAATTTAGATCTTCTTATTCTCTTTTATATTTCTTTTATTTTAACTTTTGTATCAATTGTAGAGAAAATATTGATTATATATTAATTATAGAGAAAAATTTGATATATTAATATTGACCAAAACTGGAATAAAAGTATTTTTTTTTTATATTTATAACTAAAGCTAAATACTTAATAGGTAATTAAAAGGCTTATGCATTTCCCCCGCTTGAGAACACCTGTGCTAGAGGAAATACAAAATTTAAATCAGAAATGCCAACTGAAAAAGTTATTTCCAGGTTTTTTTTTTTTTTTTTTTTTTTTTTTTAAATTAACTTTTTCATTTCTTATTCTTTAATTTCAGCAATTTTTATTTATTTTATTTTTTCCATGCAGCCATGAATCCCCTTAGGGCTCCATGAAGCACAAATTGGGGAATCACTGCAGTACTAATATTATTGTAGTGGTTTTCACAATGATTAATATTGGTTTCATGTATAAGCTAACACTTCCTATTACAAAATTTGTTTTATGTGCATTAAAAGTATTACTCATTTACAATGTTTGAAAAACTTGTTTACAATAATTTTTTTCTAAAATGTTTACTGCTGTATTACTAACTACTAATTTACATAATCAATGCAGAAATTTATGAAATTTATTCATACTAAGATATTAAAAAAATAATGCTACTTATTAAAATTACCCACGCTCCTAATTAAAAGCAATCCAAATTTTTACAATAACAAAATTTTATATCAAGAAGGATGCCAAAGTGCACGTAATTTTCCAGAAAAAATTATCGATGGTTTTTACACAGTGCAGCAAAATGTTTTTTAAATTTTTTAATCATTAGAATATAGAAATAAGCAGAATAATTTTACATTCTTTGCATGATAATTATAGATGGAACAACTTCACGTTTTAAATTTTGATTTGATGACCTTGTCAATTTCATCCAAGTGCAAAAAATGTTAAGCAAGAATAGTTATCTAATTATATTTGACACTTTTAAGAGCTTCAATAAATATTTACTTTTTAAATAAAATGCAAGAAAGAAAATCTGAATGGACACAAAAAATTTCATAAGGAGATTCAGAGAGGTTTTTATGACAGTCTCTATGTTAGAGATAATTTATCATAAAATTCCATGATGGATGGGATTTCACAATGCATGAAATAAAAACAAGTGTAGGCTAAAAAACTCCACAAGCTTAATGCCTGCTGGACATTTATATCAATTATCAGAAGACACACTCACAGTGGCGTAGCAAGGGGGGGCAAGGGAGTGTATGATGCCCCGGGCGCCGCTCTCAGAGGGGCTCCAAATGGTCTCCAAACAAGATTTTCATCATATCAGTTTTTTTTTTAGGGAAGGGGGGCGCCAAAAGGTATTTTGCCCCAGGCGCCAGGTATGCTCGCTAGTCCACTGGACACACAGGATGAAACCCAAACTAGGTATAAATTCAAGTTATAGCACTGATTACAGTTGGGGTACTGGTTTATTTAAAAAAACTATATCAGAGAGAGAAGAAATGAAGATCCCTTTTGTATGAAAAACATATAGGGACCCACCTGCCTCGAAATCGAGAATACCTTCTAATAAATTAACACCAACACATGGTTAAACTTCTGCCTCGCTTTTGATATGTAAATTACCTAAAGAAACATTCCAACATTAGAAGCAAAACTGCGGATACCTTATCACTGAATTTATATTACTCGGTTTAGCTAATATAAACGAACACTAAAGAAATAATACTTACGCGTCCACAGACTCCACTTTTCCCTCGACCTTTGTATCGTCGCGAAATTCTATCTTCGCCCTTTTTCCTTCCAAGGCTTCGATTGTAGAAATCAACGTTTTAGAGCTAATAGCTCTTTCTCGTGCCGCCATAAATGCAAATAAATACACTTAATTACGAAAATAAACAGTAATCCACTTTACGAAACCTAGACTAGACTAAACACTTCTTACCTCTTGTTCAAAATTCCGACTTGAAATGTAGGAAGATCATACCAAACATACCTCGTTTTTCTGGCAAATTTGGCGATCATATTTGGCGTCAATTTTTCCCCCCTCAAACTGAAAAAAGTTCTGTTTTAGTTCTGGGTGAGTATTTTTGTTTGCGTATTTACTTTAAGCAGTATAAAGTATTAAAATTAGTTTGGGCGTTAAAAATCTGAATTTTAGCCCTTTATATATGGACTTAAGGGGAAATTATAAATAATTTGTATTAAATGTTCTTTATCCTCTCCATGTTTGTAAAATAAGTCAACTGTATGTTTATAAAGCAGTTATATAATGTAATTTGTAAAGTTTATTAGGGAAATTATGAATAAATTTTATTAAATGGTCTTTGTCCGCTTCATATTTATAAAAATATATAAAATAATTTTATTATAGTTTATAACTCTAATGAAGAGGGTATAAATTTTAGGTTCGTTTCCGCAGTTGGGAGAGGGGGGCATATATTTATTTTATAGGGTATTATTTTAAGATTTAAAAGAAGAAGTTTGCATAGAACTTTGAAATATGGTAACAAGTAGTTGGGCGATTTGTGCAACAGTTTGTGTGGCAATAAAGGTTAATATTAGATGAACGACGAAGTATTTTTTGGCATACTTTTATCATTATGAACATTTCTATATTGCTTTGAGTATAATATAATTTCAACACTTAACACAATCCATTGTTTTTAAAGGTGTTTTATGAGAAAGAAAATGCTTGCATATGAGGTGGTCTCATACTCTTATGTTTAGGATGTTCTACAAGAAAACATTTGTTATGCATATGAAAACTCATTTTTATCTCCCTGCAGCTTTTCTATATATATTGCTCAAGACAGTTTTTCACTGTCATCCACCAGCTTTAAGGAATATAAGAACTATACTAAAGTAATTAATTAATGTTAATTTATAAATTAATTAATATTTATTCTTTTTTAATTATTACAAATACTTTAATTTTAAATATGGGAATTTATCTGAGTATGAATATATACATTTTTATGTAACCACCTGGAAACTTTGTGGCAATTGCTCATGCTTTTAAGTAGATGCAATGATTGCAGATGTTAGCAATAGTCATTCTTCCATTAGGACAGTGTCCAACTATGTGAGACTAGTTGGAGGAGGTAACAGCATGCACGAGAGCATCCCAAAGATTTTCAATGGGATCAATATTGCCCACAATATGGCAGCCACTCCATACTTTCCAGGCAAACAAAGTTGGTTTTATAGGGATGGGGTTGGGCATTTTCATCTATAAGGAGGAAATCAAGACCAACTGCTGCAGCGTAAAGTCTCACAGTTGAGTGTAGGGTCTCATTCTGATACCATGCAGCCATCACTGAACTGTCTTTAAAGATAGGCAGCTGGGTGTGATATCCCGTTGAAATTCCAGCTTATGCCATGACAGTGTCACATCTAAAAGCGTAAAGTTCTGAGACTGGTTCCATGTGCCTTGTGCTCTCCAGACCATTTTGAAATTATCTAATTCCTGGGCAAGTCTGTACTTGTCTGAGAATAGAATGTTGCACCAGTCTTAAATAGTTCAAATAACATACAAGGGGTGATCAAATGAAAAGGTACAAAACGACATAAAAACGTAACAGTTAAATATTTGCATATTCCGCCATGGGAGAACGTAGCGAGACATCTCGGGATGCGATTGGAATTTCTGACTGGGATTGGAGCATGTGCAGGAGAGAGCAGAGGCTCTTATCAAAAGCGGCGTCCAAATGATGCAGTAGTCCATATGAGGACAGGATGGCGTTCGCGTTGCAAAATTTGACGACTGAAGAGCAGCGAGGTGTTATCCGATTTCTGCCGGTGAGAAACCGGCAGCTATTCTTCGCCGGATGGTGACAGTGTACGGGGAGAAATGTGTCTCTGACACGTCTGTCAGAAAATGGAGTGCCCGTTTTCATGCAGGCCGTGAGAGTTGGGTGATGACCCGAGACCAGGCCAGGCAAACACCATCATCACGAGTGATCTCATCGATAAGGTGGACGACCTAGTGAGAAGTGATTGGCATGTCACATTGCAAATGTTGGTGGTGAAGGTGGATGTCAGCTATGAAACCATGTGGACAATTGTTCAGGACAGGTTGTGATATCGGAAGGTGTGTGCCGCTTGGGTTCCAAAGCAGCTCACCGACCAGCAAAAGGAACTGCGTGTGGGGTTCATCACTGCAACATCTGTTTCAGTTGGATCGTCACAGGTGATGAGACCTGGTGCCATCACTATGAGCCAGAGACAAAGTGGGACAGCATGCAGTGGAAGCATGCATCGTCACCTTCCCCTAAAAAGTTCAAAGCCGTGCCATCAGCAGGCAAGGTGTTGCTCACCATCTTTTTCAACATTTAAGATCCACTACTTGTGGAATTCCTCGAGCACAGAAAAACCATTAACTCCGATGTGTGTACTGCGAGACACTCCAATGCCTATGCAGGTCCATCAAGAACAAAAGACCGGGGCTGCTCACGGAGGGTGTGGTTCTGCTCCATGATAACTCGAGTCCACACCTCTCCAGAGTCACACACATGGAACGGGCCAAGTTCAAGTGGGAGACGTTGGACCATCTGCCCTACAGTCCGGACATGTTGCCTTTCGATTTCCATGTGTTTGGTCCACTGAAGAAACACCTGAAAGGGAAGCGCTTCAACTCGGACGACGTACTCAAGGACGCTATGAAGGACTGGGTCTCGTCACGCCACAGGAATTCTGGGAACAAAGAATCCTGTGGCTTGTTCATCACTGGGATCGTTGTGCTCAGGCCTGTGGTGTATATTTTTGAATAAAGTCTACATTTGTACCCACCATGTCATTTCGTACCTTTTCATTTGATCACCCCTTGTATTAATGCTGCCACTTTAATCTTTCCTCTTATTGGGAAGCTTGTGAAACACAAGCATTTGGTACATGAATATACAGTCCCTTCATGCCTCACCAAGTGATGCTGCAGCTATGGATGTACCAATTGTGAAAGTTGCTCATTGATCCCACTTGGCTATTTTAGCACTATACTAATATTCAGAAGGTCTGGTCAGTCGAAAAACTACCTAATTAGTGTATGTTTGGGTAGTCAGTCATGATTTGCTGTAACATACGACATTTGCTACTGCACTGTGCATCTGCAGTAAGTTTCAGCCACTCAAATATATATGTACATGTTCTTTTATCATTTCCAATTAGTCTTTTGTGGATAGTTAGAACAAGAAAATAAGCAGGTTATAGAATTGTTCTGGAGTGACCACTTCCCATGTTTCCAAGACTTGAGAATAAGTTATGAGCAATATACATTATGATTCGAAAAGCAAATATTCTTCAGTATGATACTTCTGAGCATTCTAAGCATCCATGTGTTATAAGCATTATAACAATTAATTATACACTGCAAAATTGATTTAACAGAAATGATAGGATAAGTTATAGCCACTGTTATTTGCAACATGATACATAGCAAATATAAGCAGCTAATTTGCATTGCATGCTTAACTATTGAAAGCTATTATATTTTGAAATAATGGTTGTCGGTGTTGGATAATTGCCTAAGTCTCCCAAATCGTCCTGTAACTTTGCTCACTTCTATATTTTCTCTGATAAAAACAAGTATGTGGTGCATAGGATTCCATATTGGATTGGCTTTGTTGGATCCTGATAGTTCATTATCATGAGTTTTAATGCTGAGTTGCCTCTAGTCATAAACATAATTAGGCACAGATATTTAGAAGGTACCAGCTAAGTTGTTTTCACAACTGACAACTAAATAAAGATATAGTTTGCTTTGAATTATTAATATGTTTAAGTTGTATGGCAAAAAACTGCTGATTGGCCTTGCCTGTGAAAAATGCTGGAGCCTTTTATTTTTATAATATAAATTACAGGAATGTGAGAACGTGAAATCATATTTTAACTTATGTTGAATAAGTGGATGATAATCTCTTGATTCCCAAGTTAATGTGACAGTATAAATTCAGTTATTCTTTGATTATGGTTTCAATAATGTTTTTCGTACCTCAATCAGGATAAAGCTGGCTGTTATAGCCTTGGTTCTAAGTTTGAATAACAGAAAATTTTATTTCTGTTACTAGTCAAATATCCAAAATGGGACAGGGAAAGGGAAGGATGGTCACTATGAATTTTTACCATTTATTCTAAAATCCAGTTTTAAATATTCTAATATTATTGCAAATTTCTTTGCAATTGCTATAAATATTTCTTGCTATGAAAAAATATTATCTAATAAAAGTTGGGTAAAAAAAAGCCTTATACTTAAAAATAAGTATCTTCATAAAAATCTTCCTGTGAAACTGGAGTAATGAAACAAATATTTAGAATGTCATCAATGATTTTGCTGTAGAAGAACAAGCAAAATAACATCCGTAACCCTCCAAACGTTAGAGGTTTAGTCCTGAAACAGCAAAATATCAGAAATAAATGGTATTTTTGTGATTATAATTTTAAAAATTACTCTCTCACTTTGTACCTTGATTTCTTTTCTTCCAATGTACATCCAATTCAAAATCGTATACATTAAAAGCTGGCAGACATTTTCATGTGTAATGAATACCAAAGCTACATGCTATATGGAATTTTACATCCATAATGCTGAGAGGGTTAAAACATTGGAATTAAAATTTTTATTTCAAAAATAAGTATAGATCTTCCTCTCCACCATATGTTAAGATTTTTGTGCATTGAGCTGATTTGGTGTGCATTGAGAGGAGCAGCAAATGGGTCACCATGGGCAGCAAAAGCTCTGGCCAGCCAAAAACATCTTATGTCACATTTTATACCTAAGAATTTCATTTTCATGTTTGAGAATTTTTCTTAATTTATTTTTGTGTTAACAATTAACTCACTGGATGAGTAGTTCAACAAGGAAAGTGTTTTTCAGAGTTTCTTTTCTATTGGACTATTTTTCCAGTACTTGTGAGCCCAAATTATGCAAAAGATTGAAATTCCTTAAGATTAGTGCAAGTACATT